CTCTACTATATATATATATATATATATATATATATATCCTCATCCTTTTGTTTATTTTTCATAGTTACCAAACAGTCTTTTTATCTACGCCTTTTTCATTGTGTGTGTGTGTGTGTGTGTTGCCTTCACGCGCTATGGATTGATTATGAGAGAAAGCAGACGTGTTCGTTTGATGCCTCCTCTTCCTCCTCTCTCTCTCTCTCACGCTTCCCCTCCCTTGTGTTGTTGTGCATCATGGTAGAGTCTGCGCGGGGCGATCTCCCCGCTGTTGTTCTTGTCCGTTGTTGTTGTTTTGTCTTTCCAGGCGCGCACAGAGAGGGAAATATTAAAGCAGGCCTCCCCACCCTGGAGGCGTGCGTGTGCGTAGGGTGTGGGCGTCGCGCCCTCTTGTTTTTCCTCTTCGCTCTGTGTTTGTGTGTTTGCCAGTCGCCGTTTGCTTTCTTTTTTGCGTCCCTCTACGCCCTTCTCAACTCGTTGTGGATGCTTGCGTGTGTGTGAGTGGAGGGGTGGGTGGGTGGGTTGTTCCGGTGTTCGCTGTGAGGGAACTGTCGTTGTGCACCGCCCACCACGGGGTACCCCGTGAAGACGGACGCAGAGCAGGAAGAAGAAAAGTCCGGCGCAGCGAGTTTCATGAGCCGTCCATCACCGTCTCCGATCGTGTCTTCCTCGTCTTCGTGTATGAAGCGCTGTCTTCTCCGTGTTCGTCAACGATAAGAATAAACGCACAGCTGGCTTTTGATGCTCTTCCTGTCCCCCTGCGGTCAGCAGTGCTGCCTTTGAGCGTGTTGTCGCTCTTCTCCCTCTCTCTGAGTGCGTCAGCGGCAGCTTTCAAAAAGGAAAAGAAAAAGGAGGGGGAAATACCCTGCACGCGACTCCTTCACGAGAACGCACTACAACTTCTGACTTTGGCTCCTCTCCTCTGTGCCCCACCCTCTGCGTTGCTTCTTCGCGCTCTGTGCAGATGCTTCCCCAGAAGGCGTCCTTTCTTGTTTTGATTTTTTTGAAAAGCCGAGGTCAAGACGCGTGCAGTCGCCCGCACCACTCATTGGACACCTCCAAACAACCTTGACAACGCCATCGTCATCATAGCCCACAGCAGGAAATAAATTATTAGGGCAACCAACAGCGGCATGCGTGATGTCATTCAACGAAGTGTTCGAAGACACATGTGAGTCCTACGGCGTTGACAGCCGTCTGCTGTACAACGATATCGAGCAGCAGGCCAACAAGCGCTTCCGCTACAGCCGACAGCTCGTCAGCTGGAGTCGAGTCCTCGCCGTGACCGCCGTCGCCGCCGCCGGGGTGGCTGGTTTGGCTGCCTACTACCAACGAGCGCAGATACATCGCGTCTGGCGACTCCGCCATCCACATCGGGTGCGTCAGCTGTCGCTGCTCACGCTGGCCAGCGGTGGGGTCAGCGTGGGGACGCTTTTGTTTCTCATCAGCCCGGCAGGGTTCATGCGCCTGCACGACAAGGCGGTGACCCGGACGAAGCAGCTCGACGCGATCGCCGTCGCTGCCCTCGTGCAGGAGCAGAACTTCTGCACCCTGGCCGCGTGGGGGCGAGCAGCGGCAGCGGCGACGTGCAAGACACAAAGCTGCCGGACGAGCTCGCCGCGCCACCGGCAGGACCCGCAAAGGGCGGAGAGGCCCATCGATGGGCCGTTCGGCACTGCCGCGCCGTGGGTGTGGAGAGAAGTTGTCGTGGACCCGACGCAGCTCCTGTCAGAGCGCGAGGCAGCCAGCAAGCACGCGGCAAAAGTCGCTCGTGAGGATGTAGTTCAGACGTTCGAGAACACGCAAACGGAGGCAGAGAGGCGGACGAAAAGGAAGGAGGCGAGCAGCAGCAGCAGCAGCGACGCCGTTCGTGACGGGGTGGACGAAGCGAAGAAGGCATTGGCTGCAGAGCTGCTCGTCACTCGGTCGTCATCGTCGTCGCCGTGCACCACCGCCGCGGAGAACGCGCAGGCCGAGAAGGGCGCTGAAGGGTCTGACCTGCCGGCGCGGCGGCGTGTGTGGACACGCACGACCGACACGGCAGAACTGCAGACCATCTTGGCGGCCACGGTGGACATGTGGGAGTCGCTCGTGAAGGCAAAGGCGGAAACCGTCGCGGAGGTGTTTTAAAAGAATGAGGGAGGTGTGCGCGCGCGTGCGTTGTTGTTTGGCTGCTGGTGGTTTCTCGGTGCTCTGCTGTGATTCCCACGCGTTACCGTGTCACGTTAGGTGCTCACATGGCGGCACTAGAGAAACGAATTCCTTTTCAACCGATAATAATGATTTAAAGAAAAGATACTTGCAGAAACGCCGGTTGCGCTCTCTGGTGGCGCCTCTTCTCCTGCGACGTGCACTTTCATTGGCGAAGTTTGCGGCACCTTTGCGCTACAACACGTGTGGGTGCGTGTGTTTCGTAGAAAACCCGAATCATGCCAATCTCCGTGTGTCAACGCAGAACGAACCGAAAAGGAAGGGGAAACGTAAAGTATGGGGCTCATCATCATTCACGTTCTCCCCTCTTCTCGCATGCCTCTCCCACCTCCTTCCTATGCTCCTTCACGCATGTCATTCTACGTATTCCTCTTTGCTACGACACATTGAACTGACGGCGACAACAAAGATATATTATTATTTTTTTTAAGTGGTCTCTACGCTCAAGGTATTTTATAGGTATACATATATATATATATATATTTAGATATCTATTTATCTACGAATCCGTGAATACCTATAGGTGCAGCGTCACACAGTACGACGAACATTATCAACTACAGTGTTTTCTTTTTTCTCTTTCCTTCTCTTGTGTATCGCACCGTTTCTTTCTTTATCTTCTACATTAGAAATTAGGCGTGTGTGTGTGTGTTTGCATTTTGGAGAGCGCGCTTCGTATCACTGTCGCCGTTGTTGTTTGCTCTCGCTGTTCACGCGGTGTCTGCACGTGTCGTTGACAGAATTTATTCGCCCCGTTCTCACCACCTTCCACTTGCTGCCTTCAACTCGTTGTTGCGTGGAGCGCCGAATATTTTCTTTCCTTTCGCTCCTTCTGCGCCTGTTGACCCTTCATCTGTTATTATTATTATTCCTCTCTCTTTTGTAAGAAGAAGAGAAACAGACGTGTGCGGTATTTCTTGTGTGTTGTCGGTGTTGTGTGTGTGTATACAAGTGTGTTCCTCGACACGCGTGTCACTGCAGCCTCGTTGCCTTGTTTAATCCTCGCAAACAGTAAAAAGAGAGGAAAGCTTTCTTTATCGCTCGCCGCGTCTCTCCCACTCTCTCTACCACTCTCTCCCTCTCTCGTCGGACGGCGCGTACTTACGCGATATCGCCTGGAGTTTCCTCAGCGAACGAAGAAACAAACAGAAAGGGAAAGTAACGGAGCAGAAAGATCATTGAGAGCGTCCCCGCCACATCGGTGTATTTATTTATACACGGCTCGTGGTGTACTGTAATTGCCTTTTTTTCTTTTCTTAAACACTACTGTACTGGTGTTGTTGACGAGTATTATTACTACTTTTCTTCTTTGTATTTCTGGACGTACACCCACCCACGCACACACCCCCACACGCGTGTCTATATATACCCCCCTCTCCCTCTTCTCACCTTTCGGGGATTGCGAAGCTGGTGTTGTGACGGGGCGGACAGTTGCTTCGTGTGTTGTTTGGACTGGCAAATATATTTCTTTCTCTCTCTCTCTGTGTGTGTGTTACCTCGATCTAGTTTGAATTTATAATTGTTATTTTTGTTTTCCCCCAATCACTCCGGCGTTACCTCACTGGAGCAGAGTCCGTGGTCTTTCTTTGCCTCTAGTGCGTGTGGGAGAAGAGAAGCGAAGCAAAGTATATATATATATATATATAGGCTCCTTATTAGTATTATTCAGAGTATTAAACCCCCACCACCACCTCCCGAATTAGATCTTCTTATTTACTTGTTTTTTGTTGTTTTCTTTTTTCTTTTCTGGCTGTTGTCGTCTTCACCCGTGTTGGCCTTCTGCGTAGACGAGAGTTGTGCTCACAACTGCCGTCGCGCGGCGAAGGAGCGAGAGAAGTGCGGCGGTGCTGCAACGAACGCAGCACGAACGGGGGAGATTATTTGATACAGAGCACACCGAGCGAAGAACTCAAAACAGAATATTTTTATTTCTTTCTTTTTCTCTCTCTCTCTTTCTTCTAAAACAAACGGTGTAACTGTCTGATCTTTGCAGCTGCAGAAGAAATAGAGTCAAGAGCGCTTGTGTACTGTGACCCCTGTCATCGCGAGCTCCACCGTCAGTGTTTCATGATTATTACTATTACTGTTATTATTTCTCTCTTGTATTTTTTTGCGGAGTATTTAGTTCTATTGTTGTTCTTCTTTTTTCTCCCAAATACATTCATTTTCCTGTTCTTTTGCCGTTTCTGCTGCACAGAAGTTTCAGCGTACCGCTGCTGTTCGTTGTTCTCCTCCGCGACAGCGGATAGAAAGAAGCAGCAGAGAAGGAGTACCAGCACAACATGTTCGCCGAGACGGAGAGCGAAGAACTGCTGAGCCTGCTGTCGCAGGTCCGTCTAGTGGTCGACGAGGAAGCACGTACAGACGAAGCACACCAGCGACAGCAGCAGCAGCAGCAGCAGCAGCAGCAGCAGCAGCAGCAATTTCGCGATGTCAGCTACGCCGCGAAGCTCTCCATGTCCTCCATCACCTCGCCGAGTACGATGTCTGGCGCGATCACCACAGCACTCTCCGCCGGCAGCGCCAGGCGCTACACGGCCTCCTCCACCGCAGCCGGCAGCTGGACCGTGCACGACGGCGGCGTGGCGGAGACGATACGGAGCAGCAACACGCTCAACGGAGTCGACGGTGATGAGCCGCAGCAGAAGCGCTTCCACGGCGCAGTCGCTGGACGGACGCCGGCGACTGGTGTGAAGATACTGCATGCGCCGCGCAGCAGTGGTGGGGTGCAGTGTGCAGACGCCTACGCCGTCAGTGAAGAGGAGCCGGAGGAGTACTACGATGTGTTGCGGCAGCCGAAGCAGCTCTTCTTTATGGATGCGCACCGGCGCGATGTGCTGCCGTCACAGCAACAGCACAAGTCACCTGCACAGCGCCGCACGCCGTCGTCACCGTTTGTTCTCAACGGTGCAGCAGCAGCAACAGCGAACTCCATTAAGACGCCGGCGATCGCACGCGATAACACTTCTCTGTTGTCCAGCTTACCCATGCAAAGTGGTGGCGGCGGCGGCAGCAGGCGATCTGCTGCGTCCACGGCCGATACGTCATTCAAGCCCATCATGGAGTCGATCAGCGCTGCCGTGGAGGAGGAAAGCGGAGGTCTCCCTCGTGCCTTTCCCCGCACCGTCTCGCCAGGAAGTGCAGGTGTGATGTCTGCCGTGCTGGCCGGATACACCCAGTCCCTCAATCAGGAGGGTCTGTTGGAGGAGTCAGCAGGCGGACACGACGACGCACACGTGGGTGGGCTGTCGCGCATCGCCGCAGAGTTGGGGAGAAACGCCCGCGCAGACGGTGAAGCAGCCGTGGCGCGACGCGGCGTCGAGGTGGGTGATGAAGGCGGCATTGGTAGCTGTGGTGGGGAATACGATCACGATGCAGCGCGAGGTGCGTTCACGGACGCGTGGACGCCGGCGAGAGGCCTCTGCAGCACCTCCGCGCGCTCGCCGTACACCCAGCAGCAGCAGCAGCAGCAGCAGATGGCGCCCGCCAAACCGCAGTTTGATTCCGCCCCTCCCACCCCTTCTTCCCCGCTCTTCACCGCAACGACATCAGCAGCAGCAGGACGGGCGTCAGCCTATGCAGACCCAATAGTGATGCGTGCGGCTCGCAGCAGCGCTGCCGGCGGCGGCGGCAGTGCCGTCTCCACGCCGCTCAGCGTGATGGCCCCTGCCATTCCACGCTCTCAGCAGCTGCTGCACGGTGCCTCTTTGGCTGCAGCGGCGAGCGCCGGGACTTGTTTCTACGTGAACAGCGACAATGCGACCTATCCGCAAAGTCACCGCAGCGGAGCAGTGGAAAATGAGGCGGCGTGGCGGGTCAGCGTCGAGGCGGAATTAAACGAACTGCAGCGGGCCGGCCACATGAGCGACGCCGCGGTCGGTGCGCCGCACGCCAGCAGCAACAGCAACAGCAACAGCAATAACAACAATAACCCGCCGAAGTGCACCACGCCGTCCACCACGATTTCTCCCCTCGCCCCCGCCTCGACTACTCCCTATCATCAGCTGCTCAGTCAGCTGCGATACAGCCCTCAGCAGCAGCAGCAGCCAGGCACGGGCACGCGTGCGAACACACCGCCCGATCGGCGTGGCTTTTCCGCAATGCAGCCGCCGATGCCGGTAATGCAGCGCACGGCCTCCGACATGTCATGTGGCGCGGACGCTCCGGCTCCTGCGGCCGGTGCTGCTGCAGGTGGAGGTGGGTCGGCTCTCTACGCGGGCGGAACGTCGCGCTATACGGCAAGTGTGTCCTATACCAGCCCCTGCTCAGGCTCCATGGAGGCAGTCGGCGGCAACGGCAACAGCAACGGTACTAATGTGTTGCCGCACTGCAGTTGGCCACAGGTAAGTCTGTCGCCGGCGGAGGCTGCCGCCCTGTGGGATCGCATGAGCCCCTACGAAAGAGCCGCCGCCGCTGCTGCTGCGTCGGCTGCGTCTGCGTCAGCGACCACGGAGTCGCACACGGCACTCTTTCACACTCCCGACACCGTCGCGAAGCCGGTCACGCTCTCCTCTATCGCCTCGCACCTGCATGGAGGAGAGATGAACTCGGTAGAGGATCTCGCGTGCGCTCGGCAGTATCCTCCACAGCCCCAGCGCTTTCCTTCCCCGCCTGCCTTCACAACGGCCGCGGCCTCGCCAGCGAGTCTGCTGCGTCGACCCGGCAGCACCGCTCGTCTCTCCGAGGCCGGTATTACAAGTGGGCCGGCGAACCCGCTTTTCCCCGCTGTGCAACAGCCACAGCCACAGCCACAGCAGAGGATGATGATGATGATGTCGCCCTCCGGTACCCCCGCCAAGCCGATGCCGCCGCATGGCTGGACGAAGCAACAGCCGCAGCCGCAGCAGTCTCAACCGTCTGCGTACGCGCAGCTCACGGCGGCACCGCGCTCCACGACGTCTACCATCGGAGCAACGGCGGCGGGGGCACCCCCGCGTGGTACGCGCCCGCCACAGCAGTTTCAATCCCCCTCCGCATTTCGCCGTGGCAGTCCGGAGGACGCGACAACGACGGCGGGCAACGCGAACAACAACTCGCCTCCGTCTTGCAGCCTGCGTCCGTCTCCGCAGATGCGCGCGTCGGACGGCAGCTCGCCCGCGCTGCGTCGCTACGTCATTACCACGCCTAACGCACGCGCCAACGCAGCCGGCAACGCCCACCACACCTCTACCGCTAACTACAACAGCATCAACGGCACGAACAGCGCGGGTAAGCGGAGTGGCGGCCGGGGGAGCCCTCTCGGCCCGTTCGGCAGCGGCAACGGCGCTCCTTCCGCGGCGGCAGGGCGTGAGAGTCGTCCGCGAGTGCAGCTGTCGCACATGGCAGGCGTCATCACCACCGCTGCGGCGGCGGCGTCATTGCGGTCACCGCTGAGCAACTCCACGGCCTCCTCCCCCTCGCACCACAACCCGCCGTACGGTCCTTCCGTGTTGTCGCCACACGCAGCCACCTTCGGCGGCGGTGGTGGAGCGACGGTGTCACCGTACCACTACCACAGCCACGGACCCAGCGCGGCAAACACCGCCGCCGCCGCCGCGAGCTACAACGCCGCCTCCGGCACGAATGCGGTGAGTGTCACGTCCGTCTCCCCCGCTGCGGTGCGGGCGCTGATCGAGCGTCTGCAAGCGGTGGCACCCGCCGTGCTGTCGGGCAGCCCCACAGCCGCTGCCGCTGCCGCGACGTCGGCTGCGACGGACGTTGATGCCTTTGCGGCACCTTCGCTGCTGGGCGGGGGTCTCAGCCACACCAGCACGAGCAACACGAATACCTTCACGAACGTGCCCGATGTGGCGTCCGCCTCCGTGATCTTGTCCATGTCGCACGATCAACACGGCTGCCGCCTGCTGCAGGCCGCGCTGGATGCCGAGTGCGACGGCGGCGGTGCCGGCGGAGAGGAGGCGGCTGCCGGCCACTACGAGCGAGAGGGCACGGGCAGCCCGGCGGAGAGCAGCAGCAACAGCAGCGGCGGCGGCGGCAACGCGGGCAGCGTGGCAGAGCGTCGCCGTCAGCGCCGCGCCGACGCCTTCTACCGCTCCACCGCCGTTCAGGTGATTCTGCGAGCCATTGAGCCGAAGCTGGACGCGGTCATGGCGGACGGTTACGGCAACTTCCTGCTTCAGAAGGTGTTTGACATGGCCCCCGACGCGGAGCGGCAGCGGCTGCTACGGCTGCCCTCCTTGCAGCACCACCTCTGCGAAGTGGCCTGCTCCCCGCATGGGACCTTTGCGGTGCAGCGGCTCGTTGAGACGGTGCGGAACACTGAGGAGGAGCGGCTTGTGTTTGTCGCGCTGGAACGTGATCTACTCCGCCTGCTGACCAACGCGAACGGCGGGCACGTCCTAATGAAGGTGATGGAATGCATTCGGCGCCAGTACACGGCGCTGGCCACCACGGCCAATGAGAGCGCCCTGCCCACCGCAAGCAGCGGTCCAGCTTCTCCGTCGTTGCGCGGTCTCCTGCAGGACCGTGTCGACGCCCTCTTCACCGCGATGCAGCAAAACTTACTCTTTGTGTGTCAGCACAAGCAGGGCTGCTGCATCGTGCAGAAGTGCCTCGACTTCCTGAACGCGTGCTCAGGGCTCTCGCCGAACACGACAGCTGGCGTCTCTGCCACCCCCACCACCACCAGCACTGCACGCAGTAGGAAGGAGGTGGAGGAAGAGAGGGACACAGCTGCACTTCAGCAGCAGCCAATGGATTACTTCGAGCGAATGTCCGCGCTGCTGCTGCCTCACGTGCCGGAGCTCTCCGTCCACCCCTTCGGCAACTACGTCGTGACGCGGCTGGTGGATGTATGCTACGCCCGCGGCAGCACCGCCACCATCGACGCCGTCGCCACGGTGATGCAGCACGAGTTGGTCCGCATGTGTACGAGCAAGTTCGCCTCGAACGTCGTGGAGCACATCCTCCGGCACTGCAGCGAGCGCCGGATTCGGTCCATCTGCCAGACCCTCATGACCAAGTCAAGCTCGTCTTCGCCCTTTGCGTCGTTGTCGTCGTCGTCTGCGGCGCAGGTCGCAGCTCTCAGCCCCGCCGTTGCACGTCTGCCGCTGACGACTGTCGTGATGGACTCCTACGGCAACTATGTGATTCAGACCCTCCTCACCGTCGCCCCCGTCGACGAGTTAGCCTCCGCGACGTCGGCGGAAGGAGGAATGCTCCCGGTGCTGCAGCTGCTGCTGCCGCTGCTGAGCTCGCGCAATTATGGCCGGAAGCTGGAGACCAAGACGGAGCTGGCGCTACTGCGCGTGGAGCAGTATCATCAGCAGCAACAGCAGCGGCGTGTGTAAAGGGGTGTGGAGGGAGAGAGGAGGAGGAGGAGGAGGAGGAGGAGGAGGGAGGAAGGAGGAGAGAGGGAGGGAGGGAGGAGGAGGAGGAGGAGGGAGGAAGGAGGAGAGAGGGAGGGAGGAGGAGGAGGAGGAGGAGGAGGGAGGAAGGAGGAGAGAGGGAGGGAGGGAGGAGGAGGAGGAGGAGGTGTTGTGGTGTGTTTGCGTGAAACAGCAAAGCATCGCTTTTCTTATTTGTTCTTTTTATCATTATTTGGATATACCTTCGCCCCGTGTGCTTCAAACAATGCGTGTGTGTATGTGTGTGTGTGTGTATTTCAAGTGGTATTGGATTTTTTTTTCCGATCTTATTTCTTTTCATTCACGTTAGTTTTAATTGTTATTGCTGTGCATACACGAAAGCCACGGACGGCAAGCCTTTTTCCTTCCGTGTTGCCGTGATGCTTCTTGCGACTCGAGCTCCTTTTCTCTCCCCCTTTCCAAACCCACCATCTTTCTCCCTTGTCCTCCTACAGACGTGCGTGTTGCTGACCTGCACTTCCCCTTTCTTGCTCTGTGAGAACTTGTTTGTTTTTCTTGCTTGCTTGCTTGTGTTTTTCAACACTGCCAGCGACTGCACAACGAGGAGTGCAAGAGTTTAACAATATTGTTCTTCCTACTATTGCTAATTCCCCTTGTACCATTGCTAGTCGTGAGCGGCTCTCTTTGCTTTCTTTCTTTCTCTTGCTCTTTCTTATCCCACTCAGACTACTACGTTGATGGTGGTCGTCAAGTCTCTTCCTTCCACTTTGTTGTTCTGTGTATCCGTGCGTCGATACGTCAGCTATTTAACTGAGCGAAGCACCGGCACGTAGAAGAAAATAGTTATTGCTCGTCCAACCGCATCCTTCTGCGCATGCTATTGGACAGCTGATATGTATGTGTGAATGGAAAGGGGGGAAGGAGTTGGAGTGGTCGATGCAACCCCCCACGCGCACACCCCCACGCGCCCCCCGACATATATGTGTTTGCTTGTTTGTCCGTTTGTTTGTCGTGACGTAATGGCTGTTGTGGTGATAGGTTTCTTTTCTTTGTATTTAACTGTGGAGGAGATATATATGCGGTACCCGATATGTCGGAGGCGGTGATCGACAGGCAAAGTACATTCTTCTTCATTGCATGGAGCCAAGCCGTGCGCACCCACGCAGATACACATATATATATACGGATATGAATATGAAGCAATCCGCCCTTTCTTTTCCTTTCCTTTTCTATATTGGCGCTCGTTTGATTTTTTGAATTATTATTATCGTCACGATTTGTACTACTGTTGTCTTCAGAGTGTATTTTTGTTAGCAGAAAGCCATCTCACGCCAGCTGTTGTTGTCTCTTTTACACACTTGTGTCGCTTGGCGGAGGCGACTCGTTCGTCCAGCGCGCGCCAAGTCGCGGAACCTCTGCACGTGGTCTCGGCCTATTTACATATTTATATATGGAAGTGAGCTAGTGGCAGAGCCAACTTCCCTCATTACTTACTCTGTTGCGCTGGCAACTGCACGTACAGGCACACATGAAAGCCGGCATGCGTGCGCTCTCCTTTCGTCGCCTCGCCACAAATTCTGTTGCGAGTTCGGCCCGTGCGTATTTAGGTTCCTCCTTTGCTTTTCATCTTTCCCACCTGTTGTGTCGATCTACCCTTCTCTGTTAACACCGCTGACGCCGCCACCCACATCACGCATCCCTGACGTTACCGGTGTTTATGAAAATGGGAAAGGAATCTCTTTACAGCTTACGTTGCTTCAGCAGCGCATCGAGACCGACTGCGTTCCTCCTTCATATTATTATTATTATTATTATTATTATTATTAGTTCTGCGCTTGTTGTTCGCACCGCAGCGCCTACGCACCTCTACTCAGCCAAAAACAACACTTTTCTCCGCTATACACCTCCACGGCCGCGCACACAACCTTCTCTTCTCTCCCTCACAAAACCAAAAGGAGAAGAACACATTCGGATATATATTTTTTATGAATACAAGCACGCCGACCACACAACAGTTAAGAGCACCGCGGGAAATTGGAAAGAAAGAAAAATGGCCTCCGTGATTGTAGCGGGTGCCACCGGTGCGATTGGCCGCAGCGTCGTCCAGCACGCCATTCGCCAGCCCTCCATCCAACGTGTTGTGGCCCTGACGCGCGCCGCCAACGTGACGGAGGCGAACTACGCCCAACTTTTTGGCGTCGGCACGCAGAACCACGCGGCGGGTGGCGACGCGAACAGCGAAAGGGAGCATCTGGGCAGCTCGTCGGAGGTGGTGATGGTGACGCCGCAGGAGGCGGCGAAGATCCAACCCGTCACGATGGACTGGGAGGCCTTCACGAACGCCTGGTCGACGACGTCCGCAGCCGCTGACTCCGCCGCAGCAACGGACGCTCTCCACACGTACAAGGACATCTTCGCCGGCCACACGTACGCGGCGATGTGTCTCGGCACGACCCGCAAGGATGCCGGCAGCGCGGCGCAGTTCACGCGGTGTGACTACGATTATGTGATGGCGTTTACGGAGGCGGTGCTGACCTACTCGGCGCCGGCGGGGCTCGGTCCGGCTGCGGCCTTTATCCACCACGTGAACGACGCCGGCGAGGTGAAGAAAGGCGCCGTGTCTGCGCAGGCAGCGGCAACAGCACCGACCGCTCCGCCGCCGCCGTCATCCACGAGCTCGGCCTCTGCCAAGTCCACCGGCACGCTGCGCGCCTTTTGCCAGATCAGCGCGGCAGGGGCGGACAGCAACTCCTGGTTCTTGTACATGCGAACGAAGGGCAATGCGGATGAGGCGACGGTGGAGCGCATCCACCAGCACAACAAAACGGCGGCAGCGGCGGCGGCGCCGATTCTTCTCTTCCTCCTCCGCCCCGGTCTGCTGAACCGGCACGGCAAGTCGCGGTGGAACGAGAAGCTTGCGAAGGCCATCCTGCCCTCGATGCCGGTGGAGACGTGCGGCGCGGCGGCCGTCAGCTGCTTCGTCGAGCCGGAGATACGGCAGGCCATCACCGCGACGGCGCCGCTGTCCGCGTCGGCGCAGGCGACGTTGGACGCGCAAAGCCAAGAAATGGCTCGCCGCGGCGAGAGCACGATTTTGCTTGGCAATCCATTCAAGACAACCACGACGATGAAGAAGGCGGGGGTGCCGAGCGAGGAGGACTTTGCGTACGTGTACGAGCTGACGAACTCCACCATCAAGCACCTGGCGGGGCGGCTTACCGAGGAAAACAAAGCAGAGGCCACCACCGCAGGAGAACCTTAAAGCGTTGAGCACTGTTCAACTCCGACTGCCACCGCACTGGTTGTTCATTTACTTGTTGGCGCTGCTTAGCACGGACTTGTCCCTCTTGGCATCCTCCTTTTTTTTAGGATTTTTCTCTCTTGTCTTTCTTCTTGACGTCCCTTCTTTGTCGAATTCGTGCGGGTAGGGGGGGGAGGGGAGGGCTTACACATGCATACACATATATATACACACACATGTCTACGCATCTACGCATCTACACCAGCACTTAGCGCAATCGCTCGTCTACTTCACCAAGTATCTTTCCCTTTCGCGTCCGAATATATTTCCTTCGGCCTTTTTGTTTTTCCTCCTTCCATCCGCCCCTCTCTCTCTCTCTCTCAAGTAGTTAGCTTTCTTTTCTTTATTTTTACGCCAGCTCTGCTCACCTCATCACGCGTTATTTGTTTGCTCCGCGCTTCCCCACGCCAGTGTTTACATGCGTGCGGGGGGTAGCTCGTATGGGTATTTCTCCCCCACGGTGTTCTTCTTTCCAGTTTTTCCCCCCTTCCCACCTCTACACATACACACACTGAAGGAGAGAACGGGAGAGAGAGAGGGATAGGCACATTTAGCCGGCGTTGACGTCTCCGTTCCTGTTGCATCGTCAAGTACTTCTGCAAAACGGCAACAACGCAAATAATAGAAAAAGAAATGCAAAACCGCAGCGGCGTACGACGCCTGGAGGTGCCATCGACGTGTCCCTGTCGCGTTGCTCTACAGCGCATTCGTTATTCTTATTACTCTTTGTGTATGTGTTTTCCTCCAGCTGTTGTCCCCGTGAGCATTTCGTGGGAAAAGGGAGAAAAGTACAGCGGCGAGAGAGGCGCGGCAGCGCTTCCAGAAAGTCATCGTCCCTCGTGTTCTTTGCCGTTGCTGTGTGCTTTCCCCCACTCGAAGCTCACGAACCGCAACATGAATGGATTAGCGGCTCTCCGTCCCTTCTCCCACTCGTCCGTTTTCTGCATATTTTTGGTACTCTTCTTCTCCTTCACGTCCGCAAAAACTCAAAGAGAAAAGCGCAGTATTTTATTTCTTTTAAAGGAATTTCTAGAACCGGTTCACTGCAAAGAGCAACGTGCATGCAGAAGCAGCTACACTCGCACCCATCGAAGAACCTCTCCCACACGCACTCTAACACAGACACGCAATGGCTGCCGTCAGCGCACTTCTCCGTGTCCTCAGTGTGACGCTGTTGCTGCTGGTCATCGCCGTGGCGGTGCCGACGCACGCGTGGTGGGGCAAGGGCCACATGGCCGTCGCCGAGATCGCACGCCGCAACCTCAAGCCGGACGTGCAGAAGAAAGTGGAGGCGTGCGCCTCGGTGCTGAAGACGATGGGGCCCTTCCCAAGCACCACTACGATGGTGGAGGCAGCACCATGGGCAGACGACCTCAAGTCCCTCGGCCTCACCACCATGGCCACCTGGCACTTCATCGACCAACCCTACAACCCAGACAACATCACCATGACGATCAACCCGATCGAGAACGTGAACGTGGCGACGGTGATCCCGATGCTGGTCACTGCCGTGACGGACCCTAAGGCCACCACCGACTCCATCACCACCTCCATCGCCAACCTCATCCACTACGTCGGCGACATCCACCAGCCGTTGCACGGCAGCTGCCTCTTCTCCGACAAATACCCCAAAGGCGACGCCGGCGGCAACGCGCAGAGCGTTATAGTGGACGACAAGGGCACGAAGCAGAAGCTGCACGCCTTCTGGGACTCGATGGCGGAGGGGCCGCAGGTCGACCCGCCGCGCCCTCTCAGCCCCGCCACCTACGCGGAGCTGCAGGCCTTCGTGGACGACCTCATCGCGAACAACATATTTACGGAGGCGGAGAAGATGAACACCAACACCACGGTCATGGCCATGGAGAGCCTGGACATGGCGATCAAGTACGTCTACCCCGGCGCGGACAACGGCGCGGTGCTTACGCAGTCCTACAAGGACGCGGCGAAGGTGATCTGCCACCAGCGCGTCACGCTCGCCGGCTACCGCCTCGCCACGGTCATCAACAACGCCCTCGAGAACGTGCCCCTCAGCGCCATCCTCAAGAGCGAGAAGGAGATTCAAGAAGAGGTCGAGGTGACGCAGACGGGCGACACCTACAACTACTACGCCATCAGCGGCGTCGAGCGCGGCGCCGCCGCCGGCATCTTCCTCTCCTGCTTCGCCATCGGCTGCCTGCTCGCCACCGCCGTGATGTACGCCATCTGCTTCGTACGCCGCTCGCAGCCCCGCGGGAAGAAGGCCGAGCACACAGTTGCGCCTGCCCACGACGTGGACGCCTAAACAGCTTTCCAACAACCATAAAGGAAAAAGTGGAAAGAGGGAGATTTCATTACCCGCACACGCACACGTGAAAAACTGCAGAGGTGCAACGGGCCGGGGGGTAAAATGGGGGAGTACAAGAGAAGAACAAGAGAGGAGGGAGAGCATCTACTAACCGAATCGGAGGAAAACGGATGGTAGATGGTGATCCTTCTTTTTATATTATTTTTTTTTAGTGGAACTGCTTCCTCTGCTTCTCTTCCTCTCCCATTTTATCGACGTTTGTCTGGACCAACAAAATAAGAAAAAGACTCCGCGAGCTGTGAAAGTGCGGGAGGGCGACAAGGCGTAGCAGCAGTTGCGCCTAACACACCTTCAACTCACGACAAAAAAAAGGCACACGCTCGCCATCTTTTTTTTGATATTTATTTATTCACTTGGATTCCTTTTTTGTATTTTTTATTGTTTTCTGTTTCTGGATTTTTGACGCTGTTAACTCACGCCTTATGAATTTATTGGGGTTGTTTTTTCCTTAGCTTTTATACCTTCGTTGACGTGCTTCTCACCGCGGTCGCCCTCTCTGTTTTTTACATTACCCTTGTTGTCCTTCTTTGAAACCGTGGCCCTTTTTTTCCTGTTGATCTAACAAATCTTGCTTCCCGTGTGGTCCCCACGGTTCCTGTTGTAGTGGCGTTGACGATCAGCCACTTCGCACAATTGTTTTTCTTTTCTTCCTTTTCCTTTTTTTGGTTTCTCTTCTCTCCTGCGAAAAACGAAAACGTTTAATTATTTTCCATTTTTTATTGTTTCTTTAAATCGTTGTTTTCTCGTCATAAAATTGACTTGATTCCGCCCTTGTGTCTGTGCGTGCGGAGGGCGGGATCGCTTGTCATCTCTTTTCCGATGTATGATGTGTAGCAGGACCGCCGTCGCCGGAGCTGCGACATTGCACCGGAATGAAGCTTGGGGCAGCGCAGAAGAGTGCCCGTGAAGGCTGTAAAGACACTGGCGCAACGGAGCAACAACAACAAAAGAAACAAATACGTACACACTGCACTCGTTTATACTCTCCTGAACTGGTTTAATGGAGTTCATTTTTGTATTCATGCGTAAATGGACTACTTCACTTTTTTGCCGTTGTTTATGGATTTGACGACAGCGTAAATTTTTAAAAACGCTCGTTGTCGGAGCAAAACGCATGAGCTCGCTCGAGGGACTCGCTTAACTCCCCTCTCGTCAAAAACGAAGAAGGGGGACGTCGCGTTGTCTTCAAGTCGTTCGAAGGCCTCTCAAGAAAAGAAAATCTTGTTAATGACTCTCTTTTATTTAGTTGTTTATTTATTTTTCTTTCCTCTTTTGGTTTCAGGCTTTTGGCTCTCCTCTTCGCGGCGCCGTACGGAGCGAAGCGGTGACGCCACAAACGGGCGCATTTCCCCGTACCCACTCTTTTTCTCTCTGAAAGAGAAGACACGAAGAAAAGAGAAAAAGAATAACAAACAAAGAGGGGAAAATGCGAAACACACGACGGCCTCACTTCTTTTTGTCTGTTTTCGCTGAGTGCTTCAGGATACAGAACAGTACAATATATTTCTCAGTGCACACTTCGGTGCAGAAAGGCAGTTGGAAACGCTTAGATTAATATTATTAGTTTTTTCTTGTTGTCGTTACCCCTCGGGGTTTCCTCTTCTTCTCTTGACATTCGTTTACTCGACGTCACCAAAAATATATATATATATATATATTCTCTTGTTTCTATGGATTGTAAAGTGCGCGCTCGTGCGTGAGCGGGCGTGTGGGACGTCATTATCTTGTTACTTCTCTTTTTGTCTTGTTCTCCCACCTAAGGCAGCGAGAGCCTACGGCTCAGTGAAGTCCATTAAGCAGTTAAAATGCATAGAAACACTTGAAGCAGGCATGTCTTCAATAAAAGAAGAGGTGAACACAGCGTGCCGAGTGCACGCCTATCGTACAGGCCGCGTTCAGCGCCGTCTCCATTGGGAATTTAGATAAATAAAGAAAAACGAAAAGGGCCGGGGTGCACGCTGATGTGCCGCGCTTCCTTCTCCCTTTCATGACCGCACCTCTGCGCTTTTCACTTCTCCCGCCTTCGCCGCCGTTTTTGCCGCAGCGTCCGTCGCCGTTTGCGCGCCTCCGCCCTCAACGGACCCTCCGCCCTCGCCCACCCGCCAGCCCCTCGGCAGGGGGGCCTAAGGCGCCGCCCATTCGCATCCGAGGCGTCCAGCACAGACTGCGAGTCGGCAACGGGGGCTTAGCTCAGTGGTAGAGCATTGGATTCCAAATCCAGGGGTCGCAGGTTCAATCCCTGCAGTCCTCACTTTTTCCCTCCTCGCCAGCCGCGAAGAAACCCTGCCTCGGAAAGGCGAGGAGGGGAGGGCGGCGGCCTCGCAGAGAAAAGAGAGAAGAGAGGAGAACAGGGGGGGGGAAACGGAATGAGGAGGGGGCGGCTGAGGCAGCGCTGCGCCTCCTCTTCGCTCTTTGTCTTGGGGCCGCTGCGCGCACAACAGCGGCGCCACGGCGGCGGATCAGCGGGGGAAGCAAAAGCCGTGCCGCCAGCAGCGTGTCCATTCCCCATTTCTTCTTTTCATTGCAGTTTGCACGTGTGCGAGAACGCGTGTGTGATCCAGCGCGCACCGCCCGGCTGAGGAGGGAGAAAACCAATGATAAACGGAGAGCATCACCATCAAAGAAACGGCAGTGCAACAGCACAACAACAAACCCAAGCAACAAACAACACAGATGACAGCGCGCGGCACCCAAAAGCGCAGACACCGACGAATCTCCCCCCCCCCCCGCGCGCATTTTTCTTTCTTTCTCGCTACGAAAAGTCGAAGACGGGTTTATTGGTCAGCGCTGCCGAGGAGGCCGGCACAGCACGCGACGGCGTCTGCCCCGCGTCCTTCTCCCCCACCGCCGTGAGCGTCACCAGCCCGTTTCCTAGCTCCACCACCGCCTCCCCATGCGCAGCACACCGCCGCGCCGCCGCAGGATTCAACTTCTCCGTTTCGTCTGCCCTTGTGGGGGCGAAAGAAGACAACCGCTGTTGCCGCGGTCGCGTAGCGCTGCGGTCGCGGCTGCACCTTTGGGTGTGAGCGTCGTCGTTGCCTAGCAGCTCCTCCGTGCGCTGCCGCAGCGCCCGTTCCATGAAGGCGTGGGGGTCGCCGCCGCCCGCCACAGATGGGCCACCCATCTCCGTCAGGGAGACAACCAACACCGAATCTTCACTTGTATCGTGCGCCATCGGCGCGGATGCGGGTGGTGGCGAAGAAGAAGACGCGGCGGCGGAAATGAAAGAAGGCGGGGCCAGCCCGCTCTGTTGGTCCTTGTTGCTGACAAAGCCCACTTCGTACTTGTCTTCTTTTTCTGCTGCTGCTGCCGCTGTCATCATCGCCGTTGTCGTGGTTGTGGGCGGGACGTGGGACATGCCGATGGGGCGTTGCGTCGCCGCAGGTGGCGGCAGCGCCGTCTCCGTCGTGCCGGTGGACAGGAGAAATGGATTGGAGGGGTGCAGCTTCACCACGTGCTCCGCCGGCGAGGGCGAGAGCAGCGAAAGGCTCAACGTCGGGTCCTCTGCCGGTAGCATCAGCGTCGCCTTGATCGGGTGCGGCACCAGCTGCGAGGACGACACATCACACTGCGCCGCTTCTTCTTCCCCTCCGGAAAGCTCGGCAGTCGTGACAGCAAGCCTTGTCATGTCCGCACGGATGGTGTCATGCTCGATCAGATGGCGCCGCTCACGCACTTCTTGATCCCACTCGAGAATGCGTGATTCGGGGGTCACCCGGGCTCTCTCTGCCGTGGACATCGTGGTGGTGGTGGTGTGCAGCACACCGTTACTCGATTGCACTATCACAGAAAGCGCCGATGGGGTCTCGTTCCGCGGACCCACAGACCCCGAAAGGCCTCGTATGGCCTCCACCACCACAACCGGCGCCGCAGCAGCAGCCCGTGCCTTCTGCTTCTTCTCCCGCTGACCGCCCTGCGCAAACGCAGCCGTCGCCGCAGGGGCGCCGTTGCTGTTTGCTGCCTCTCCCCCACCCTTCGCGTTGCCCGACGCCGCTTCGGCGGAAAACGGGAAGCACGCAGTCAGCACCACGCCATCGCTCGCCCACAGCGTCCGCCCTGCTGCGGTGGAGACGCCAGACGTCGGCGGCACGACAGCCGTCCCGCCGTGCGCGGCCAGGGAGTAAAACGCAGCCGACGGGTCCGTCGGCGCTTGCCCGTACGCCGGCGACGGCAGAGGTGAGATGCTCACCGTTTCGCTGGTGTAGGTGCTCGCGGCCCACACCGGCGCTGTCTGCAGCGACGCAGCCGAGTACGCCAACTCCTCCTCGCGCGGGTCCGCACTTGCGAAAAAGGCCGAGCCCTGCGCGTGCAGGTCGGCAAAGAGAGCGTTCTCGCGCTGCGCGTCGCGATGCGAACTGCGTGCGGCGGAGGGCAGACCCTGCAACACGCTGTTGTTCGCTGCTGCAGTGGCGGAGCTGACTTGGAGCTCCGCTACCGCTTCTCCGCGTGCATCAGTGAAGGTGGTCGGCGGGATGACGGCTTGAGGCACATCGGTGGCATTGGTGTCTGCGTTACTACGGCTGCTGCTGCTGCTGCTGCTGCGCTGGTAGCTGACGGAGTCCGCCTCCGAGGAGCTCGAGCTGGGTACGAGATTAACATCAAGCAGCCACGACAGCGCCGCGAACATCTGAAAGAGAGAGACAGAGAGAGACAAGCGAATATGATGAATCAAAGAGAAGAGACAAAGCACGAAGGAGGCAATCAGTCCGCAACGTTCAGACCTTGGTGAAGAGGGCACCACCTTCTCTCTCTCTTGGAGAATAGCAAAAGAAGCTAAAAGAAGTTTTTTAAAAAAAAAAGGATCTGCTTTGCCGATTTGTCTACGGCGAAAGCTGCACTTCCCAGAAAGGGGAAAAAACCCTGTTTTGATGATCAGGGGGACCAAGCGCAGAAGACAACAAGACCCCGAGCTGGAGGTCGAAGACGCAAAATGACGACGGCAGCGCCGCTTCGAATAACAACGCACAACACAGACGAAAGAGCTGGCTTCCAGCACGGCAGCGACAGCCACGCTTGGGCACGAGTTGATTCTACGGAAGCAGTGCTGGGTATGATTGACGTCTCCGCCCTTGCGCTGATTGTGTTGGACAATAGACTCGTGAAAAGAAGAGGAAAGAAGAGGAAAGAATGAGGAAAGGAAAAGAAAAGGTAGAAGGCGGACTCCGCTGCGGGCAAGGGCCGTCCAGCACTTCGAAAGAATCATGAGCTCTCACGCATGGAACGAAGAATAAAAGCACTTGGTTTATGTTTTGTTTGTTTTTTCATCGAGTACGTATGTAAACGGTAGCGTGCATAAACAGTTGTTTGCTTGCTTCTGTAACAAGAAAAACGAAGAAGAGAATCTTCTTAACGTTAATGAGTCGTACCACGATAGCCAAAACGGTCGAAGGAGCACGTGCGAGCGGACTTCACGCCTCGCTCAGTGAGCCGCCGAGTCTTCCCCCCTCCACTCAGAAACCGCAAAGGGGGCGAAAGCACAGAACTAACAAAAGACGACACCACCGTAACAGCGAGAGACACAGAGAGAGAGAGAAGCATTGGATACAACAAACGAAGAGGAATAGCGCCTCCACGCCTTTTCACTCGGACCAGGAAAAAACAAAAAATGATAATGACAATAAATTGAGCGACACAGAAGAGAAGAAGAAGAGGCGACTCGTAAGCAGGCGGTGGCGATGCAAAACGTCGTCCCATTCACACTTGTTCAGAAAACTGGAGATCAAAAAAAAAGAATTATCCTGAGATGCGAGGACACCACGACCAGGATGAAAGAACGGGAAACGGTGACGCGGCCAGCGAGAGGAATTGATCGATCCGAGAAGCCTCAACACATCTCAAGGAGAGAACAATAAAAAGGAGGGGAATTCTCCTTCAGGAGCCATCGTTGGCCACTTCCACTCCATTCCCTTTGTCTGAAGGGAGGAGGGAAGAAGAAGTGATGGCCTCCTCAGCGCTTCGCTTTCTTTGCCTTGTCGAACTCCACCGTCACGCCGCTCACGGTGACCGACATCTGCCCCTTTTCATCGTAGTCGCACCAATCCTCCGACAGGTCCGCCTCCTCGAACCTCGCCCCGCTGTTCGCCACGACAACCCACTGATTGTCCACCTCCATCGCCGTCGGCTGCCCGCCGCGCACCTCAAACACCGCGATAATGTTCGCCGCGTTGTCCTCCACGGCGCTGTAGTACCCCGACCCCGCCGGCACCGGCATGACGTCAACCGTCACATCGCTCTTGCACGCCTTGCACTTCCACACAAAGTGGTGTGTTCCGCCCTCCCGCTCGTGCGTCTCCTCCGCGTTCACGTACATGGTGTTCGCCGACTCCTCCTTGCAGCTGGCACACTCAACGCGCAGGCCCCAGACCCGCTCGGGCATCGGCTCAATCCGATCCACGCCCTCGCTCTCGTCGACATACATGACAGCATGGAAGAGAGGCATGATGGCCCGCCCCGCTGTGGTATGGTGTGTGGGTGCGTGTGCGCTTGCTGTCGTTGCAAAAAGAAAAGCAGAAGCCCCTCAAGGTACCGAGAGGAGAGGCGATTCAGAAAGCCCTCCTTGTATTACGTACGTATTTGCTATTTGTTATGAAAACGGTGAAGCGCAAGTGGTGCGTGCGTCGCGGCGGAAATCAGGAAACCTCCCAAAAAAAAAGAGAGACATAACATTGAAAAGGTGAGATGGAAGAGAGGAGGAAGTTGCGACAGCAAATCGTCGTCATCTTTCTTTCCTTTGAGCGGCCTACCAAAACCTGTGTTGGCATAGCGCGGCAGAGCTGTGGATCAAGAACACCTTTGGCAAGAGAGAGAGAGAAGAGATGAGCAACATCGCCTCTGACGCTGGCGTCACTCGATTCGCAGAAGTACCACAAAAGAAAGAGTACTTCAGTAGCTCTTTCGCTTGCGCACAGATTGCAAGAAGTCATCGCCGCGATCATCTGGAGTTATTCCACCCAGAACACCGCGAAGCGAAACTCAGCTGTCCTTTCATGTTTTATTCTTATAATTCTTATAATCGGAGGAAGACACATGTAAAATGCTTTTTTTTCTTGAAGGTCACACGAACACACCACCGTCACACGCTCCTGCGCCGAGTCGTACGGAAATAAAGGAAAATGGGCAAATGCCACTACGAAAAGCAAAGGCGTGAGTAACGCTTCATGAAGACTCAATCGCAGGTAGAAGAAAGCGCCGGTATGCCGTTATTTCAAGCATGGCAGACTCTTCTTTCCTCTTCCGTTTGTTGTTGTTGTTGTTGTTGTTGGACGTGAGATCGGCGTGTACGGTGAACCTTCAAGCATTTACACCGTCAAAGGAAAACTCCGTTCAGCAAGAAGGTAAGGTAAATACACGCACACACACACACACACACACACACACACGTGGAGCACCACCACCAGAAGAAGAAAAAAACAAGAAGAAGGACGCCGTCACTCCGACTCTCTTCGAGCAATTATCCTACGACGAGCCTTTTTTGAGCGCGTGTGTTTTGTCTCTGTGTGTATTTTGGCTGTTGCTATTGTTTTCCAGCGCGTCTTCCTTCTTGGAAGCTTATATATTCTTCTTCTCCTGCTTCACAACCTCACGCGAGTTCAGCCGCAACGTTCATCCTTCTCTCCCTTCTCTTCCGCTTCGTTTTGCCAGTCCCGCTTCGAGGAAGCGCGTCCCACATGGGGCACCAAAACAAAACCAAAGAAGGAGGAAGGAAGAGGTGAAGAAAACAAGAAGAAAAAAAATGATTCAGAAGTGAACCGAAGAAGGTGTGCGTGCGTGCGTGTATGCGTGTGTGTGTGTGCGTCGCTTTCTTTTTTTCCTTTCTCTCCTCTCTCCCCTCTCACTTTGAGACCTTCGCGAACGTACGACGAGGAAAGAACTTATGAAAAAAAAGAAAAACATTCATACGACTAAGTAGAAGTAAGGGGAGGTGTCTTCATTTAAAACAATAGTAAAAGTAACAAACAAGAACAAGAACAAGAAGAAGAGAAAAAATCAGCTACAGTAAATTAAAAACAATAAAAACATATATATATATATATATACACCACCTCCCCTCCCCGCGCGCTTCTTGAGAGTCCTCTCTTGTTGCTGCTGTTGCTGCTCGACGATCACGAGTGAGGGGGGGAGGGGGAAGGACGTAGATATATAAAAAATAGTAGTGACGTGAATTCAGGAAAAGAAAACAGAGAAAAGAAGATAAATACTAAGGTGAGTGGACGTATTATCGGCCTCATTTCGTTTCGAGGTTTCTTGTTGTTATCATTTTATACATATATATTTGGGATTTTTCTGCTGCTGCTTTTTGCAGTTATTTCTTTGAAACGCTGTCATTGTTTTCGCTGTCGAGCAAACGAAGGGGAAAAGGTGGAAAAGGGAAACGCATCTGCACAGAAATATATGTCTTATTTCGAGGCGGAGCGGCACCGAAACCGGGGAGGGGAGGGAAGGGAGGATGCGGTCTCGGAACAATAAAGAACTTGGGGGGAAAATCCAAAGAAGTAACACTCGCAATCGGAAAAAAAGTTGTGAGAGCACTAAAGCAATGGTGAGGACTTAGAAGAGAAATATATATATTACCAACAGTGCCTTCAGCGCTTCTTTTCGTTGATGTACTCCCTTCTTCTTCAATATCCTCGTCGCTGCCCCTCGTGCGATGGCTCGCCTGTTCGTTGTTGTATCCTAACCTTCTTTATTCCCCCCTCCCCCCTCCCCCCACCGATTACGGCTCGAGCCCTCGACAGCGCAACGAAGCTTTGAGCACCCGGAAAAAGGCAGATAAATAGCAACCAAAGAAATGAAGACGCGACGCCAACAACGTCCACTCCACATTTATATTTCGTTTTTCTTCTTTCACAATTTCCGTTTCTTTTCCTTCTCCTGTTTTGATTTGAGAAAAGCGAAGGCCGTCCGCTCTAAATAAGAATACAAAAAAAGGTAAAATATTTATTTTCTTTTTTGATCGCTCGCCGTTCTTTTGATGAAAACGTCGGAGATGAAGTTGATGGGGATTTCTCTTCGGGACACTCCGCTTACAGGCGGTTTGCGGGGGACTTGTGTGTGTGTGTGTGTGTGTGTGTGTGTGAGGGGGTGGAGGGGGTGCCTACTCTCTCTCCCCTCTTCACACACACCACCCCGTTCGCATCCCGCAGCGGAGCAGGGCGGGGGAGGGGAAGGGAAACACCACAGACCAGCGCGAAGGTGCACAAGAACGCAAAAAGCCTCTCTTTTCCTTTGCTTTCTCTTTAAGTCCTTCGATTTACCCCACTCTCTCTCTCTCCTCGAGTCCTACCCTCCTTACATCGACCGGCGGTACATCTCGATGATGTCCTCCTTCGTGCCCTGGCGAGGGTTGAAGGAAGAGCACACATCCCGCAGCGCGGCATCCGCCAGGCGCGGCAGGTCCTCCTCCTTCGCGCCCATCTGCTT